CAAATATTCCATGAAAATTCAATTCTCAGAATATTCTGAGAACATACAAAATAACATGGTGTTTTATTCTTTTATATCAATAAGTGCCCCTATTCATCAGCTGCAATGCTAATTTTCCTACTGAAATGAAGTGCATGTTGACATATCTTGTTGTTCATTTCATTTATCAATAAGGTTCCTAAAGCGCAGTGATAATGGTGTAAGGATTGTAAAAATTCAATCAAGAGAGACTAGAATCGTTTCCCCAGCCGGGAAAGCTCTTTTTTAAATTTTGGAATGGATTATTTGCAGCGATTTAATGTGCGCAAAACGCTTTGGAAATGTTGTGTTGTGAGCATGAAAAGGTACTCAAAAAAACCAGGTAGAATGTATTTTTGTGACATCCCAGGGATATATTTATTAAGGCCACCTTCGGCGGATATCGGCTCTGTTATATGATAGTTCTATTCAAGTATGAACAGAACATCGCAGTGGAGGTTCAATGTCTCGACATCTCGTACTTTGCGAACCAACATTTGTCACGGCAGCGAGGAAAGAAGTTCTAGATAAAACTCTCTCGTCAGAAAAAGCATGTGATAATATCGTCAACTGGCATGTGTCAGATGAACCTTCGTGTTCTGACCATAGACAAATAAGATTTGATATAATTACCCCACCTCGTACCTTAACAAAGTACAGAAACCCCAGAGAGACCAACTGGGAAGGATACGCAACATCACTCAGAGAATCTTTACAAAGGACCACGGCTGACATGAGGGACAGCCACAGTCTTGAGAGGTCAGTAGACCAAGTAAGCAAGGCAATAGTTGCCGCCTACGAAGGTAACTGCCCGGAAAAAACAAGACAACAAAGCAATAAAACAATCTGGTGGAACAAGCATCTCGAAACCCTACGAGGGGAGGTGCGAAGGCTATTCAACAAAGCAAAACTCGACCAGAATTGGACCACATATAAGGTTAAACTCACGCAGTACAACAAAGAGATTAGGAAATCGAAAAGGCAATCGTGGAAAAAGTTCTGTGAGGAGGTCACAGAAACCCCCACATGTTCAAGGATCCACAAAGTGCTAGCCAAAGAAGGTACTGTAAACCAAGTAGGTTTTCTGAAGAAGAATGACAATACCTACACAGCAACTTTTGAGGAGAGTCTGAAAATGCTCACTGAAGCACACTTTCCGGCCTCAGTAATTCTAAATGAGCCGATAGTGGCAGACAGCACCATTGGCAGGCCGAATAGGCCAACTGCCACTTCAACTACCTATATATATATATATATATACCTAATTTTTATTCCGTTAATACAATAACAACGACCTCCTATTTTTCCCAGAACAGAAGCAACGAACCAGACGAGTCGTCCATAATAATATCCCAAACAACACAGCATATTCTACCAATGTTCTGACAACTTTCAGAACATTTCTTACCTATTTTTAGAACATTCTGATGGAATGTTCTCAGAATGTTCAACAAATATTCTATGAAAATTCAATTCTCAGAATATTCTGAGAACATACAAAATAACATGGTGTTTTATTCTTTTATATCAATAAGTGCCCCTATTCATCAGCTGCAATGCTAATTATCCTACTGAAATGAAGTGCATGTTGACATATCTTGCTGTTCATTTCATTTATCAATAAGGTTCCTAAAGCGCAGTGATAATGGTGTAAGGATTGTAAAAATTCAATCAAGAGAGACTAGAATCGTTTCCCCAGCCGGGAAAGCTCTTTTTTAAATTTTGGAATGGATTATTTGCAGCGATTTAATGTGCGCAAAACGCTTTGGAAATGTTGTGTTGTGAGCATGAAAAGGTACTCAAAAAAACCAGGTAGAATGTATTTTTGTGACATCCCAGGGATATATTTATGAAGGCCACCTTCGGCGGATATCGGCTCTGTTATATGATAGTTCTATTCAAGTATGAACAGAACATCGCAGTGGAGGTTCAATGTCTCGACATCTCGTACTTTTAACATCTCTGAGATGTTTTTGTGCTCGCTGGGTATCAGCGTAGTATATTAATAATAATTTACATTTCTTTTATGATATAAAACATTATCAAAAAAGTTGAAAACTTGTCCATGATCATGTAATCTTGTTCTCCTTCAACTGACTAACTAAAATTCATTTTCTCATTGAGTATACGATCAACAAATTAAATACAATTTTATATTATCTAAAAATAACTATAAAAAACATGAATTGTTGCCCAAGTATTTTATCATAAAATCGAATTTCCAAAATTTCTAAATTCTCAATCAATCGTGGTTAAATTTTTTTCTTGAATCCAAAAAACTGATTTTTTACCTATATGAATGACATGTTGATGCATTAAATTTGAAGAGAATTTCTCAGTTGATATCCAACCATCAATTTTATTTTTGGTGTCAAATTGTCATATTCATGTTTTACGACATGATTATAGTTTCATAAATGTTTTCTCATGTATATTGTTGATGTTTTATAAAACAATCGATCAACAGAAAGAATAAATGTTCAAGGTGTATTTTTGAATTGATATAAGTGGTTTCAGCGCTTGTTTATATAGATGCCATAAGCCAGAATAGATTGAAAAAGACTATTATAGAAACTGATAATCAAATTTCGACTGACAATGTTTCTCAGTAACCTGAATTTAATATTATGTCTTTATTTCATCTCGAGAAGAAACGAAGATAGTTCTTTGTAACAAGTGCAGAGAGTAATACTTTTTCGCACGAGACGGCAAGGGTAGAAATGACATCTTCTGCAAGGGTTAGGTACAATGTTTTTTATACAAGTGTTTTTGTCCATATTAGTTATGAAAAAAAATGTTTTTATTAAACAAGATTTCATAATAATGCTAAGAAATGAAAAATGAGACAGAATAGTTACATAAATCAACAATACAAAAAGCGTGCGGAGAACTAACTTTTCAGCACTAGTGCGGTAAAGTAACTTTTCCCCACGATTTTATCGACAATTCCACTCAAATAGAAAGAAACAGAAATGTAAGTGGATAAAAAAAATTCGGATAAATTACGTTACCATAGCAACGCTAGCACTTACTGTTCGCTTTTCAAGTGTTGCACGTCACATCAGTTTGACAATCGTAAATGTCAAAAACAGAATTGAACATCAAAAGATATTCCAGTAAGTATGTGCAGATTGGTCCTCTTTATATCCTGCATTCCCTCACCACATAATCTGTCATGATGTATTATACTCTCAGATACCAATCGCCTGATATAGTTTGTAAGCAATAAATTTCATCATACTAGTTTGTATTTACTGATTTTGCTGTCACTAACAATAATTGTATTTCCAATTATACCTTCAATATAATTACCACTAATTTTGCAATGGCAACTAAACCCATATTATGAAACTGTAAATTCAAGAAGCAATAAATTATTGATTGATTGAAGTATGTGGAGATTTGGAGATATCTGCGACGCAAAAATAGTAAAGGAGATTGAAAAATCATCTCCAGATAATACAATAAAAAGAAGAAATTCCTCCATTTGGAACCAATTTAGCGAATGTTTTAAACAACAAAACTTCGAAACCGAACAGACAGTGAAAAATGTGGCAGGAATATTGCTGAACTGGGGCTTCAATATGAAGAAACAGAATCGGGAAGACTATAAACAATGTACACTCTCGTGATATTTTCACAACGATTCTCGTTAATATGCCAATGAAAATAAGTATTCGAAAACAACCACAAAAAATATCATGCTAGATCGGTATTACCCCCGATAAAATCGTGCAGAAAGGAAAAATCCTGCGGAAAAGTAAAATCGTGCGGGAAAGGAGAATCGTACGGAAAAGTGAAACATTCAGAAGGAAAAATCGTGCTGAAAAAATAATTTTTCCCCACACTAGTAGGAAAACAATAATGCCTTCTGATCAGTGGGAATCAGCCATGTATCGATGATATGTATGCAGCTATTAGACTATTATTAGAATAAGGCAAATGGGGGGTCATGATAAGACGAATCGACTCAAGTGTGAATGAATGAAGTACATCTATACAATTCCTAGAACCAACGCAGTTACTAAATTTCTACCAACCTAGAGCTTTCAAAAATCTGTAGATAGAGGACACTTGGTAATGATCGTCCGTATTTTGGAAAAATAGAATATTTCGTTTCTCGTAGACCCGTTTCAATTTTTGAGAAGAGAGCTAGGAGAACATTGACTGAAATGATCAACTTTGTACAAGCGCATCCAATTTGACAGATGTGTCATTTCTTTGAGATATTCAGCTCCATTGTGGCGATTTGGATCCAAAAAAATCACAGCCTTCAAATTCGAACCTCATTTAGAGTCAAATTAGGTGAAGAATGATTAGATTTGTTCGTTTGACAGAATAACTTGTCAATGATATTTAAAATTTTCGAGGGCTCTCTGTATTCTTCACTATTCATCAATAAGCTGCGGTAGATTAGGTTGTGCAAAAAAAAAAATTCTGACAGTCCATAATCACTGGAGATATTTTTTGGTAACGTTGCTGTAATTGTTGGTGCTTGTGTTCTGTTGTTACAGTTCACATATGAACTGTCAGAATTTTAGAATTTCTTTGGGTAAACCGCACCTCTTCTGGCATCTGGCGTTCACGCGGCCCTGGGAAAAACCACGAATAGAACGAATTTAAAATTCCGAATTGAACATCGAATATGGAAATGGCGTTATTTGTTCATAATAATCATTTAAAATGAAGATGACTTGAAGCCATTTGAAGTTGAAGTACAACTAATGAGAAGGATAAAATATGGGCTTTACCGCATAAAAATTTGCATTCCCGCTACTTCTCGTTATAGCCGAAATACCTAATAACTAATAAATAAACAAATCAGCGGCGCATGAGAAGATGCCAACTTCCATGTTGCGATGCAATTACGAAGAACGCTCTTCTGCCTAATCAAAATCGAACCTTCTTTAGCGAATTCCAAGGTGGAATGCTGACTTTTCCTGGACTGAAGAGATTAGTTGTTGGCAGTTGTGGATACTCACGTTCAAAGCATTTGATCCTTTCGATCACGTGACCGCACGGGCTGTTCCGCTGGCAGGCAACCATCTCCTCGCACTTCTCCGTGCACGCCATCTTGCACAGGTCGACGCATGCGTGGCCGCACGCTAACATCCTCTGGCACTTCTCTCTGCAGTCCTGGCGACTCGGTACTTGACAACAACGCACGGTCACTTTGTGGCCGCAGGAGGCTATGACTTTCTCGACCTTGACTTCGCAAGGGCCGCACGCGTCACAACATTTTTTCCTGCACTGGTGGCCACACGGCAGGGTTCTGTTGCAAGGCTTTTCACAGATCAACTGGAAGCGAATAAAAATTCCTCTGTATGTTTCAGCCAGACAGCAGATAATTTATTGAGTTCTATAGATATTCTGACCACGTTCATTCGAATTTCATAATAATATTTGCGAAAACTAAGTTATAAAAATATGCCAACGAATATTTGTGAGTATAAATATAAATACCTGAACCAGAAAGTATTTGAATACTTGGTATTTGAATACCGAGAACTATTTAAATACCGAAAAGTATTTGTAAATACAAATAATGCCCAGCTCTGCCGCCCTACCACTCCACTTCTTTTGATCCTCGGCTCATGGGACACCCTGTATACAGGGTGTCCAGAAATTATGCGCAAAAAATCATTCTGATTCTGCATGAGGAAATATAAAATTTATTTCATATATACATGGGTCTGGAATTGCATAGTTTTCGAGATACAGTGTGTTAAACTTTTTAGAAAAAGTCGGTTTTTTATGAATATCTCAAATGTACCTCTATCGATTCTCTTGAAATTCGGCAATGATATTTTTTGTCATGAGGGGCTGATTTAGCCATAATAAAATTGGAACTCTGAAATCCAGTAGCGTCCCAGGGACACCCTACCAAATACTATTGTCAATAAATTGTGCACCACTGATTTTTTGAAATTCTATATCTTCATATCCAAATAATTAACTAAAAATACAACATTTTCGTCTCTTGTATTGTTTTGCTATTTTGCTGCGTTTCCGTGGAAAAAAATAAATACCAAAATTCATTGCATAAATTTGGGCATAGACATCCATAGACGAAGAATAAGAATGAAGATTCATTTTCTTCAAATATTTCATAATACATGTTTGATACACTTTGTATTATCGAAAACTACGCCTTCCTGGACCAAGAATACATAGTTCCCAATATAGAGAGTGTAGAGTGTGTCAAACATATGTCAAGAAATATTTGAAGAAAATGAATCTCCATACTTATTTTATGTGTATGGACATTGATCAGGCATTTATTTGCACCCCAGTTTTTGAAGGAATTTTTTGGCACAAATTTATGCAATAAATTGGCATTTATTTTTTTCCATGGAAAGGGTACATATTATCAAAACAATTCAAATGACCATGATGTTGTATTTTTATTTGGTCTAGGTTATGAAGATACAGAATTCAAAAAAAAAATCAGTGGCGCACATTTTATTGATAATAATATCCGGTAGGTTGCCCTCCAGGACGCCACTGGATTTCATTATTCCAATTGATATCTGGGTATGTCATCCCCTCATGACAAAAAATATCATTGCCAAATTCCAAGAAAATCGGTGAAAGGACATTTGAGATATTCATGAAAAACCGATCTTTTTTAAGAGTTTTAACACACTGTATGTTGAAAACTATGCATTTTTGGACCCACGTACATATAATACAAATTTCTTATTTCATCAAGTAGAATAAACCCCTTGATTTTTTGCGCATAATTTCCGGACATCCTGTATACAGATGATAAGTGTACCTATATTGAAACAGTCACTTTAATAACGTTGTAGTGACGAATATATAACGTGAAAAAATCACGTCGGTGTGACGTACCAATTTGGTGAGCTTCGTCATTCAGAAAATTTTTCAATAATTTGCTATTTCTATAGATTTTTGTTGGGTGACAAATAATGCATGAATATACGTTACTCAACTAAGTGAATCTTAATTCGCCAACATCCTTTTCATTGCTATCAAACTACTCTTGGCTTGCTTACATCTCGCCGACACAAACTACATCATTTTTGATACAAATACCAGTAACTGATTCCATTCTGATGCGAGATGCGTACTGAGGGATAGCGCTGCTGGATAGACGATTGAATGGACATGACACCGGAGGGGACCACCAAGCAGACTCAACAGTGCATAATCAATATTATATGTCAAAGGAAAAAACACAAACGCTGAGTCGGTCGACCACAAAGTTTAATTACAAACTAGTTTCGGCTCAAGCAGCCATCTTCAGACACAGTATATAGTACCTGTAAAGATATTGGTTTACAAGAATAAAATGACATATTGAGGAAAAACATACCTATAAAAGGACACGTGAAATCACATAATTGATTCAATTGAAATATGAATTGCAAGGGTCATTTGGCCAAAATTCAGTCCGGTGGAAAAATTGATATTCTTTTGAACCGACTGAACAGCCAAAAGAACCTAATGAGGATTAGATTCAACATTGGCAGAAATTGGAAAAAACCAGCAGTTAATTCACTCACATGAGTTTCATCTTAAAATGGCCGTTTTTGTGAAAGACAAAAGCCAAGGAGATGGCAACAAAATGTCAAGCAAAGCAACAGACGTTGACAGAATTACATGACAAATGACAGTGACATTTGATAAAAACTTAAATGACATGCACAATATAAGATTACAGTTTTGAGTTATGATAATGTTGCAGTAAAATTCTGAAAAATGAATTAATTACAAGAATCATTATGTCTAAAAAACCTAAAGGAGAGATAAGTGGTAAGGCCGAATGATATGTAATCCAAGAAGAGAGAAGAAGTGTCACGGTGTACTAATTGTGATCTAACCCAGAAGAAGAACTCAGGAAGGTGAACAAAATGAAACAGGGTCGGCTTAGGTAAAAATGTAAGATAAAAATGGTCATGAGAATTCAAGTGTGCGAAAAATGTGGTTTCGTTCAAAATTAGTTTTGGTCATTGAGACAGTTAAAATTGGGATTGTTTATACATTTTTGGATTTCTAAAATTTCTAGGAGGTTTAGCCGTGGACCTTTATTACAAATGTGGATAATATCCATATTGCAGTTAACATCGAAAGAATGACTGGAATCAATAATATGATTTTCAAAGGAAGATGTAGTGTTAGGATTATCTGAGTTGAGAAATTTGTGGATGAGTCTGTTATGTTCAGAGGCACGGGTTTCAAAACTTCTACCAGGTTGACCAATATAAGACGAGTTACAATCATTACAATTCAATCTATGCACACCTGACTTTTTTGATTGAGAAATCTGGCTCTTTCGAATTAACAAGTAAATGTTTGAGATTGGAGAAAGTTTTATAAGATATGTTAATATTGAAATTTTTGAAAAGTTTTGAAATTTGAACAAAAAAATTACCAAAGTAATGTAAGGATTTGAAAACAGGGGGATCAGTAACTTGACTCAATGTTACATTAAAAGTGGGTCTGAATCTAGTATAAAATTTGAAATAAATCTTCATGATATGTTCTAAGGGAAAATGATTGTTTATAGCAATTTGTTTGATAATGTTAATCTCTTTATTAAAAGCTGCATCAGATAGTGGTAAGGAAAAACCTCTATGGAAAAAACAATTGAATGAGGCAAATTTATGTGAAGGTAAAGAACCGTTGACTTCTGATTCACAAGTGAAACTAATATTGGGATGAAGTGAGTTAATGTAATTCAAAAAATTGGAAACATCCATAGGAGAACCATCAAAAAGTAGCAAACAGTCATCCACATATCTGTGATAAAAGATTAATTTTGAATTATGTTCAGGATTATTCAAGAATTGGTTTTCTAAATTATTCATGAAGATTTCAGCCAATAAGGGGGGAGGTTGCTACCCATTGCAAGGCCAGTAGTTTGTCTGTAAAATCTACCATTAAATTGAAAAAAGTTTTGGTTCAGAACAAGATTCAACAGGTCACAAATGTTCAGAACATGGTGAGTTGGAACATTGTTCTCGAAAAGGAGATTTCTGACTAATATGAGGCAATCCTCAGGGGGGATACTTGGAAATAAATTGGTAACATCAAAGGATACTAATACAGAGTTATCAGGAATGACAATGTTTTTAATTTTGTTAGCCAGGTCAATAGAATTTTTAACAGAATGAACATTATTGAAGGCTGTAAGGTCTCTTAGTAATTGGTTTAAAAAAGGAGCTAGTTTACAACATGGGGAGTTGATGAACGAAACTACTGGTCTAATGGGAATGTTTAATTTGTGGATTTTTGGTAGGCCATAAAGAAGTGGTGTAGAAGGGCACATGGGGTATAATTGGAAAAAGGATTTGCCAAATTCCTGTAAGGAAATGGAAGTTAATTTCAATTCTTTTTTCAATTTTGTGAAATAGGTTCTTGTGGGATCAATACTAATTGAGATGAAGGAATCAGAACTCAGAAAATCCTCCACTTTGGAAATGTAGTCTTGTCTATTCAAAATTACAATACAATTACCTTTATCAGCCTTTGAAAAAACCAAATCACTATCTTTCAATTTCTTCCTGATTGAGGGAATAATTGAGTTAAAATGAGTGTGAGCAGAATTATGAGAACCTGAAGGGTTATTAATAATTGAGTTGAATGTTGTGGCCGCTTGGGCTCTAGATTAGATTAGATTTAGAATGGGGCCTTCGGGCTATCTGCCTCCACACCGCGACCTTTTCAGATCTATTGTGTCTGCCCTCAAAATCGATTAGAGTTCTTCGGCTAGCCCCGTCTTCTCTATGAGACTCCATAGGCTAGCTTTCAGATCCCCTGTGTATCTCTGGGCTTCTGGTTTTTCCTCACCCAGCGTAAGGAACCTTAGTCTTGACAAGCCCTCACAGTGGCAAAGTATGTGTACTGCTGTTTCCTCCTCTTCCTGACAGAACCTGCACAGCAGTTCTTCAGTCAGACCTATCGTGCTCATGTGTTTGTTGAGCCTACAATGCCCTGTGAGGCGTCCCACTAGTATTCTAGTTGAACTTCGTTTCTGGCTTAGTAGATATTCTGTGAATGTTGGCGATGGTTTTTTAATAAACTCTTTTGCCTGTCTCATTCCTGGCGATTTGTTCCACCATTCTTGAGATTTGGTTTGCATCCATGATTTGATACTAGTCTTTTGTATAGCTTTCGCAATACCACAGAAGGGTTCTGGGCCATTCAGAGCTTTGTTTGCTCCTGCTCGGGCAAGTGAGTCTGCCTCTTCATTGCCCTCGTACCCTGTATGTGCTGGTACCCATGCTAGAGTCAGTCTGTTCTGACTGCCCAGTGCATTTAGGGTTTCTAAGCAGTCCCATACTAGTTTTGAGTTAACTTGCATAGAGTTGACTGCTTTGATTGCCGCCTGGCTATCTGAATAGATTGCAATGGTTTTGCCTTTAAACTCTTGCCTTATCAATTCTTTCACGCAATGATGTATTGCAATAATTTCTGCCTGAAACACCGTCGCGTATTTACCTAAGCTCAGTGAGATTCTTGTCTTTGGCTTGGCCCCATAAATACCAGCTCCTGATCCAAACTCAGTTTTGGAGCCGTCCGTATAGACAGCAATGTCTGCATTGATAGGAGATCCTTCCTTCCATGCCTCTCTGTCCGTTATACTTATTTTAAAAGTTTTTTCAAAGCTATATTTTGGAATTATGCCATCCGTTGGCAATCCCATGATGGGGTCGCTTTCCAACTCTTCATATAGCTTTCTATAGTCTTTACCGTGCGCGTTGCTTATGGGTGCTTGACCCCTTGACAATCTACTCACGACTGCTCTGGCTTCGCCTTGAATATATATTTGTAGTGGTGGTAGGTTCAAGAGGACCTCTAAAGCGGCTGTTGGAGTGGTTTTCATTGCACCAGTGGCACTCAGGCAAGCTTGCCTTTGAATAGCACTGAGCCTTCGAATCACTCCAGCCTGTTGTGTCTTTGGCCACCAAACTACTGACCCATATGCTATCATAGGCCTGATGACGCTGGCATAGAGCCATGTGGTCATTTTTGGTTGCAGTCCCCAATTTTTCCCGCACATTCGTCTGCACAGATTGAAGGCTACTGTACTTTTTTGAACAGTTTTTTGTAGGTGTTGATTCCATGTTAACTTATGGTCAAAGATGACTCCTAAGTATTTTGCCTCTAGGGCGAACGGAATTTCTACCCCGTTGAGTACTGGTGACTTTAATCCTTCCAGTACTCTCTTTTTCGTGAAATTCACTATAGTGGTTTTATGAGGGTTCACGGTGAGTTCCTCCTCTTTACACCAATTGTCAATTATGTTTAGAGCGATTTGTGTGAGCTCCGAGACCGTACTTGCGAATCTACCTCTAGCGATAACCTCCAGGTCGTCGGCATATCCTAAACAATAATACCCTTTGGATGTTAGCCTTTTGATCAGTTCGTCCATTAGAATGACCCATAGTAGGGGCGATAATACTCCTCCCTGTGGGCATCCCCTATCTGCTCTAGCTGTCAGAGTTGTCTCGCCAATTGTGGATATGATAACCCTATTTTTCAAATTGACATTTATCCACTGGCAAGGAGTAGCGGTACTCCTTTCCTTGCTAGGGCATTAATTATAGAATTTGTTGATGCGTTATTGAAAGCACCTTCTATGTCTACGAATGTTGTTATAGCTATTTCTTTGTCCTCTATCGACTTTGCGAGTAGCCTGTTCAGATCATCCAGTGCTAAGTCAGTTGACTTGCCTGGCTGATACGCATATTGGCGTTCGTTGAGCGGGTTTCTTTGTAATACCTCGTCTCTTATGTATCTGTCTATCAGTCTTTCCAGCGTTTTGAGCAGGAACGACATTAGACTTATTGGGCGGTATGATTTTGGCGTTTTGTCACCCACCTTTCCCACTTTGGGAAGGTAGATGACTGTCACCTTCTGCCATATTATGGGTATATATCGTATTGCTATACAAGCCTTGAATATACGACACAAATGTGGAATTAGTATTTCCTGCCCCTTTTGAAGCAGGATGGGGTATATTCCATCTACTCCAGGGGATTTATAAGGTTTAAATTTATTAATAGCCCACCTAATTCTGTTTGGCCTCGATATCTCTGTAGCTAGCCTCCATTCTATGGCAGTTGGCCTATTCGGCCTGCCAATGGTGCTGTCTGCCACTATCGGCTCATTTAGAATTACTGAGGCCGGAAAGTGTGCTTCAGTGAGCATTTTCAGACTCTCCTCAAAAGTTGCTGTGTAGGTATTGTCATTCTTCTTCAGAAAACCTACTTGGTTTACAGTACCTTCTTTGGCTAGCACTTTGTGGATCCTTGAACATGTGGGGGTTTCTGTGTGTGTGTGACGCTTGGGCTCTAAGAAGGGGTTTATTTTCAAAGTTGCAAGAGGTAATAATTTGTTCTACATCAACGAAAACTTCGAACATTTTTTGTGACTTGGAAATTGAAATATTGAAATTGAGACCTGATGTAGTAATGTCCTTTTATAGGTATGTTTTTCCTCAATATGTCATTTTATTCTTGTAAACCAATATCTTTACAGGTACTATATACTGTGTCTGAAGATGGCTGCTTGAGCCGAAACTAGACACAAAAAATCTTTTTGTAATTAAACTTTGTGGTCGACCGACTTAGCGTTTGTGTTTTTTAATTTGAAAAAATCTGGACCACTTTGAGAAGGATGGATGGTTTCCATGACTTAATATTATATGTCATCAGAGTTCAGTGGTGATCATCACACCATGTTCGAGGACATTTTTTTACGTTCATCTTCAAATTTGAACGTCATTTCGACGTAAGTTCGACGTCACAGTTTGATGAGTGAATGACGTCAATAAACGTGAGTGATATGACGCCATTGGGCTGTGACTTATTCACGTCATTCATCACTGTCACTGAAACGTCATCTGGTTGCCTGGGATATTATCGACCCAATTGCGAAATCAGATCATCAGATGATCGAAAGGATGCCAGGGGCGAAAGGGAGAGGATGAATACGTTCAGTATGCTGAGCTGGAATTGTAATCTCTGTGGTCTTTCTTATATGAAATGAATTTTCATATTTCCTTTCTGAAATGCTTGTTGGTACCTAGTAGGTAGAATAACTTAGGACCAGAGTAAAAAACGACTCTTTGTGTGTGACTCTTTTTGAAGAAGGGTAATTTGATTGAAGCATTCAAAATATTTTCGTTATTATGAAGTTATCGGATTTTTCGGTAGTAACGACATCATCCGTTATTCTCAATGGGATACCCAATATATTCCTGATCAGATTTGAATTTTATTATTGATTCTGATTCATTTCGATCAAAATATGTCATACCCGATACCTTGAATGAATCATTTTTAGTCAAGCTAATCAAGTTCTTCAAGAAAAAGTGGTATAGTATTTGAGAAAGAATATTAGGATTCATTCTAGAAAGCTTCGAATATCGTGAGTAGGCTATTTTTGAACAGATATACGCAAATAATTGTAGTTTTACCTTTCAAAAACCCAGTAGTTGGTTTCATTATTGTTTTTTTTTCTAGGGGTTCAAAATGCGAATCTGGAATTATCATAAAATCTTTTCTGTTGCGTTATAAGAAATTCTCAAAAAACAACGAAGTTTTCTAGTGTCTTTCACGTTTAAATAGTTAACATACCTAGTATACTACTATAAAAGCAACATTCTAGAATTTGTAATTTAGTTTCAACCTTCTGCTGAGGATGCTCACATAGTTAGCGAAGCACGTATCTATAGGTACATGTTAAAAAGTCGATTTGATTAGTGGTAAAACACTACACCTATTCCAGATGTATTTCAGAAAGCGTCAATTTAATTTCAGAATAGTCACTTGTATTTCAGAAAGCGTCAATTGTATTTCAGAATAGTCAATTCAATTTCAGAAAGCGTCAAATGTATTTCAGAATAGTCACTTGCATTTCAGAAAGCATCAATTGTATTTCATAATAGTCAATTCAATTTCAGAAAGCGTCAATTGTATTTCAGAATAATCAATTCAATTTCAGAAAGCATCAATTGTATTTCAGAATAGTCAATTGAATTTCAGAAAGTGTCAATTGTATTTCAGAAAGTATCATTTGAATTTCAGACAGCATCTATTGTATTTCAGAATAGGCCATTCAATTTCAGAAATCGTTCTCTATAGACTGAAAGCCAGCGACCACCAGACATCATTTCAACAAGGTTGATATTTTTTATGTGTGTTATACCTTATTCGGTGGAATCGTTTTGGGGGCTGAAAATCTTCAGTACTGGATGGGCTTTCAAGAGATACCGGGTGTTGGAAGTACAAAAAAAAAAACTGGCAAAAACATCATTTCAACAAAAGCTGATCTTGTTATGTTCAATCGGATCCTATCATGAAAGAAAATATACAATTGTCAGGCACTTTCCACGGGGTGTTCTCCTGCCAGACAACTTTATAAATCGTGAAAATATCATGACATTCACGTCATAGCAACAGAGCTTGATTTTGTGAATGTTATTAAGAAGCCTATTTTACAGTATCATTCAAACAGCCATCGGTCACTTCCTATTGGACAAACATGTAAAATATCTATAATAGTCCCCTATACCTGAAATTCTGTAATCTGTTCAAATAGTATATAGGTACCTACAAGGTACATAAAAAAGAAATTTGGGGTGATTGCATTGAAAACATCACTACAGGAAGCACTGAACAGAGTGCACTTTCTACTAACTAATCGATCTCGATGCTTATTGAAATTCAATTGACGCTTTCTGAAATTCAAATGATATTTTCTGAAATACAAATGACGCTTTCTGAAATTCAATTGACTATTCTGAAATACAATTATTGACGCTTTTTGAAATACAAAATACTATTCTGAAATACAATTGACCCTTTCTGAAATTAAATTGACTATTCTGAAATACAATTGATGCTTTCTGAAATTGAATTGACTATTCTGAAATACAATTGACGCTTTCTGAAATTGAATTGACTATTCTGAAATACAATTGACGCTTTCAGAAATACAATTGACTATTCTGAAATACAATTGACGCTTTCTGAAATTGAATTGACGCTTTCTGACATATATCTGGAAAATGTGTAGTTTGTGACATGAAGTGATTGATCGTATGAAATATGGAGAAAGGTGAGTGCAATTTACCGTGTCGACGTTGGAGCTACAAGCAACTTTGAAGACATGAGTACAAATAGTCCGGTGCTTCATCACTTGCTCAGTGCAAGGTTCACATTCTTCATAGCAGAATTTTCTGCACGAGTGGTCCTTAGTGCTGCATCCTCCACGTACTCTTGCACATGGTTTAGGACATTTATACTGAAAAAAAAAAACATTTTATATGCATGGCCCCAGGATGAACTTTCTGATATAAACTAATTTAGGAAATTCTCAAGAACGGTCCTGGATTTTCCCGATTCTGAATGAATCAGTCGATAAGAGAGTAGTTGTAGAATATTCTATGAAAAATCAGAAGAATAGAGAAAGCTGCTGGAAAGTTATGGCCAAAAGATTGTTTTTCGAAAGCTCTTATATCACCCTATACAGTGTGTCCCACTTTTCATGAATACACCCCAATATCTCAGTTATTAATGATGCGATTTTCTTGAAGTTTTGGTGGTGATTGTATGTTAGAACAGTGGAGTATTTAGCAGAGTGAATCGTTTCATTCACCATTGGCGTTGAGATGTTGAGGGGCACAAAAATGGGTTTATTCTGGAAAAGGATATTATGGCATATTTTAAATACCTTTTTCGGTCAGATTCAGCATTAGCATTCTCGAAAGAACCACAATTCATAATTTCAAAATCTCAAGAAAAATTCAAAAATCCAGTTTTTCATGACTACGCCCTAAAATCTCAGTGTCACGAAAGGTCGTGGGATCGATCCCCCGTAGAAGCGTTTTTTTTTTAAATTTTTTTCATTCAAAATAGGATTTTCTACTTTATCTAAATCTCTTTTTTGAATATCTGCGTGAAAAGAGGCGGATCTACGTTGATTCATGTATCCATGGTCCTGAATGGACGTACTGAGGATGTACAAACGCGCGGAATCTGGACGTATCCAGTACGTACCTGAACGTCGACCGTACCAAATCTGGACGTCCCCAGTACGTACGAAACGTCTTGGCCGGACGTTCTCAATACATTTTGGGGACGTACTAGTGCTATATGGGATGTTATATCGTCATCAGACTATATAAGTTATAAACTCATGCAACTCATAGGCCACTAATATATAACTAATGATGCATTTCAGAAGAACCTCACAACGAAGAATCAACTTTGAAGGAATGCTACCCAATAAGATGTAGATACCACATACCAACCAGTAAGCAGTCACTCCGAGAAGTTTCATCGTTGAAGCACAAAGAGGTTAAAAAGATATCATTGTGTCATTCATAAAATTGTTTTCTTGGAATCTGGTATGTGTTTGGTTTATGATGAGAGGGTTATATTGTGAAATAAAGAGGTACTAGAGCTTTCAGATCCATTGGACCCCTCAAACCCCTACCCCTCCCCTACCTCGATAGTATGTAACCAATGTCGTTAATTGGCCATTACAGTCCCATCAATTATGTATATGCTGGGCTTGCTATGGGAAACTCAATGTGTCGATTATGTTGTACTAGCCTTTTGCCGCGGATCTGAATATGATTGCTGGGTACCCAGCACTGGGACCAGCTGCTGGCCGCAGTGTACTGATATATGGAGTCTCGCATATGGGACCTTCACTGGGTTGCTGATGTTAGGTATGGGAAAATATATTAGGCTATTGATGTCCTACATCAAAATGTTTGCTGGGACAGTTATTAATGGATCCGATTTTATTGAAATTATGATGGTGATTGTATGTTAGAAAAATAACATACAATAACCATCATAATTTCGATAAAATCGAATCATTAATAAATGAGATTTTAGGGTGTAGTCATGAAAAGCGCGATTTTGGAATATTTTTCTAGCTCTTGGGATCGTGAAAATATGAATAGGGGTGTTTTTGTGGATGCTTGATCTGAATCTGATTGAAAAAGTAATCTAAAATGAGACCTAATCTCTTTTTCCAAGATAATGGCCTTTTTTGTACCCCCTCAAGACCGCACGCCAATGGTGAATGGAACTGTTCACTCTGCTAAATAATGCATTGCATGTTCTAATATACAATCACCACAACATTTTCTAATTACGGTAACGTACTAATTTTACGACGTCTTATTGGCGTATTATACTGGAGGTCTTAATGACGACAACGCATATTTACAAATGAATCAATCAATCAATCAATCAAAACTGAGCTATATTGTCCAAGAAACATTCTTCCGATTGACAAAGCGTGAAACTAGCAAGTGGATAGATCCACTATATCCAATTATTTGTACAAAGATATAAAAGATATGAACATAAAATATAGTTGATAAATAACACAAATACAAGGGTATAAAACAACAACAAAAAAGCCCTAAAAGCATAACATTTATATCACATACAACGCCAACTAGGTACCTTACATAATCGTTAAAAAATCAAGAAATAAATTATAGAAATAAATTATACATGACTTCAAAACTTATCGTTGTAATATTCCTGCAGGTCATAGTACGCTATTTAATAAGGAATTTTTCAACCTCCTTTCTGATTTTTTTTTATGGAGCCGGTTCCTTTGAATTGTTCTGGCAAGTGATTGTAGATTTTTTTGCTTTCATATATATTGGAATTTTTTGTTCGAGTCATCTTCGGTATCGGCAGAGACAGGTGACTGTTATTTCTAGTGGACATAATATGATTGATTCACCGGGTTTTTGTTCCATGAATGATGTCTGGTGTGGATCAAACAGACTGTTTCCAAAATAAAGAGGCAGGTGAGAGTGAGAATTTGTTGACTGATATAAAGTGGTCTACAATGGTCCCTTGCTTTAGCCCGACACAAATAGCGAATCGCTCTCTTCTGTAGAATAAAGACAGGATTCAACAAATGTTGGCTACAAAACCCCAGAAGGCTATGCCGTACCTGATATGAGACTCTATGAGAGAAAAATACGTGTTTCTGGAAAAAGCAGAACCAAGCTCATTTGATACAACTCTAATGGCATAGCAACCTGATGCTAATCATTCTTTTAGTGACGTTACATGTTCCTCAAACCCTAATTTTCTGTCAATATGTATACCTAGGAATTTAGTACTTGTTCTGTTTTCAACTTGGTGTGTACCCAATGTCAGATTTTCAAACTCAAATTTGAAGGTAATAATATTTGTTTTCTCCACATTGAAGCATAGAGAGTTTGAATCGCACCAAGATTTGACTTCGTCGAGTTCCTGGGCTACAGCTAATTTGAGGTTTTCTACATTTTTTCCATGCCAAAGGAGGGTAGTATCGTCAGCAAATAGAGTGAATTTTCCCGTGATTGGTAAGCTTGGTAAGCGGAATTCCATCAATGGTTTGTGGTGTATTAATATGTGCTTATGTGTGTATTTAATTATTTTAGTTATTGCATTACATTTCTCTTTGACGAATTTACATATATAGAGTATAATCAATTCCTAAGAAGGAATGACATGAATGATCAAACATGTATTCTTAGTATAAGATCGTTCATGAATTATTATTGACAGTTTCTATAAATAACATTACAATTCGTGAACAAAACTTACATATCATTGAGATTTTTAAAAATAACAGTACTAATAGTAAACGAGAAAAAAACACAAGAGCAAAAAGAAAAAAAAGCTGGAAATTCATAGTCTCAGCTTTGATCATTTTTTGCATCAGCAGCTTCAATGTGAAATTTGATTTAAGCTTTTTGTTGATGATAAAATAGGAAAATTCAAGAGGATTGATTGAAAGGTATATATACCTCAGGACTGTTTTAATACGTCCTCTGTAGGTCATTCTGATACGTCATTTTGACGTATGAATATTACGTCTTGTGGCTGTGACATGACATGACAATGACATGATTAGGGTATACTGGAGATGCCCCGCAGTGGATGTCTAGTGGACATCCCGCTCGGAACATTTCTAGGATATCCTATTCGTGCCCCTGGAATATCTGATATCCATTCACATCAGAGTCATTGAATTTCATCAAAATATTGAATTGAATTTTTTTGAAAATGCTCAAATCCTAACAAAGTTGTATTTATTCAGGTTTCTGTAGTTTAGGCCTGTTTATAAATCTGTTTTGGTACATAAATCTTTAAAAGACCTTCATGTCCCTGGACGTCCTAGGAATATCCTTTCTTCGTACTTGGTACATTCCAGGGACGTACCAGAAGGACATCCCTTGGATGTCCTTTTTGTATGTCCCGACAAAGAATATCCCTGGGATGTCCTAGTATAAAATTAGGGACGTCTCTGGGGAGTCCCATGGATGCACTTGTGCTGCTAGGGCTGTTACATGGGATATTACCGAGAGAGTTTCGACTCACCGACAGATGATCGGGATCCCTCCTGTCGTGGCAGCTCAGCATGCACACGTGGCCGCAATCCAACGTGGCCTTGCAGTCGACGGGACACGCAAAGTCTTCCGGCCTGACGTGGCAGGGCTTCATTTCCTTGTGGCCGCAGGGTAGTAGGGTTAGCACAGGCTCGACGCATTTGTGCGTGTTCGGATCTTGGTGGCACGGCAGCGTGACTTGATGGCCGCAATGCAACGTCCAACCGACCAAATAGTAGCAGGGGGGGCATTTCTCGAAGCACCTGCAACAGGGTGAAGTGAACTACGATATACATGCCTTATGAATTACAATATACACGCCTTATAATTAGAGCACCCGTTAAATATTGAGATGGGAAATCAATATGATGAAACAAGGGGAACGAGAAATAAGGAGTTGTCACAAGAAAAAGGGAAGTAGTTCATTCAAGAAAGTGAATGAAAAGGTACAACGAAGAGAACCTTCAGAGTAAAAATCTTCAAGTATCCTGATACGCAGGACCAAGCTGTTTATTGGCATCTGTGGAGTCAGACCACTGGAGCAGTCACGGAAGGTTGTTAAATGGTTTTTAATACAGAAGATCTTGGACTTGGTAACTGACTCTAATGACTAATGGTTATATGAAAGACTGTGAGTAGTTTATGAACAATCATTCCTATTATGTAACGAAATATCAAAAAAATTTCGAGATTGGCAGAAATTACAGACCTTGGTGTAATTTTTCAGTCCCACCTCAAGAGAAAATGAATGATGAACATATTTCAGCAATAACTCGCAACGCCCAGAAGCTACTTGGATTTCTCAAACGTATGACACAAGAATTCGTTAGTATAAAAAGTGTATAGCTGCTATATCATTCCATAGTGCGCTCATGGTTGGAATACCGCAGCATAATATGGGACCCGTCCACATTAAAACAAAAAAAAATGATAGAAACAATTCAAAACAAATTTATTGCCTACCTACAATACAAAAAATATGGTTATGGTCCGGGTCTCTCATCTTATGAAAGACACAAAACTGCATTTCACATAGATAAGTTGGAAAATAGACGAACTCGACAAAAAATTATGTTCATTTTCGAATTAATAAGTGATAAAGTGTCAGATTCTTATCTTCTCTCACAGTTAAAAATATATGCTCCATCACATATGATTCGCCCCAGAAACACTTTCTTTTACATTCCGATGTCTCCAAATATAATTGGAAGTATGTGCGCAATAGTAAATAAACATATGCGGATAGAATCTCAGTAGATATCTACAATTTCAACTAAAACCAAGTAAAAATGCATATACGAAATGTAGACTTCCTGTAGTCAAGGCATGTCTTGGTTACCCTCATGACTTAAGAGTAAAATTTAGCAAATGAGAGTGCATCAATATTATATTGATTGGTATCCTTTATATAATTTTCAGAATTCCAACTGGCTCTCAAATATACAGTGTGACCCACTTCTAATGGAAACATCCCTGTACCTTGCGTAATCGTTGGTTAACGATCCTGGAATTTGCTGGAGCGAGAGATATACCAAATATGCACTCTATGACCAAGTGGGGTCATCTCCAGTGATATACACTGCTCGCCAACAGCCATGGAACCACCCCAATTTCCGGAAAATGATATTAGGAGTCAAAATAGGTTGAAAATCACTTCGGATTCAGAATCAGGACGCCCAATACACTAACTATTCATAGTTTTCCTAGAAAATTTTCAGTTCATAGAAATTTCTGTCCCACTTCCCATGGAAGCACACACGTATCTCACGTAATTATTGAGGTAGGGTTCTGACATTATGAACAGGCATGAAGAAGCACCAAAATAAATTTCGTTAGACATATTGTAAAGCAAAGAGAATTATAAAAGAAAACTGCATTTGGAAGAAGTTCAGATAATTGATTTTGCCGTTATTGAAATATCAAAATGTTGTCGGTGGCGTATTCCAAAAAAGTTATCTATCTTCCTGTATTAAAATGATATGACATGTTTTTCATTCACATCCACGATAGTGAATTGCCCTACGAGTTTAAGAGCAGTACAGGGTGGGCAAAATTGGGCGTTTTCATAGGCTATCTCAGTAACTGTAGGAGTTATCAAAAAATCGATATACATGTTACGTGTTCGATTTCAGAGATACAGGAGGAAATTGGAAAATTGCCAATTTCGTTTTCATCTTCTGAGTACTTTATAAAAAGAGATATTGAAATATTCCAAATTTTTATCCATATAGAATGACGCTTTTTGTTCTAATAGAACACCCCGTATATTTAAGCACAGTTGGATAGTCCTAGGCATTCCATATTCAAATATATATTATATTAACCTAACTCTTTCTTCGACACCTTCAGAAATATTCGCAAAAATATACTCTCAATGTGTCACATTTCTCATGGTTGCACCTCTGTATCCTCCATAATAATCATTGAGGTAGGATTCCGACATTCGCAGCTGTGAGAGAGATGCCAATGATACACTCGAGGATCAAGTGAATTCATCTCCAGTGATAACACTGCTCGCCAGCAGCTATGGAATCACCGACATATCTGAAAAATGCTATAAAAAGAGGCAGAATATAGGCTGAAAATGATACACTGTATATATTAACCAAAGTAGGAGAATAAATATCATTGAAAATGTGATTATGTCACTAGTGCTCGATTGTTCTATAGGCATAATGAACACCACAGGGCTGATAATAATCCTTGAAGTAATCATGATAGAAGGCAACAGGGAAGGTTTGGCTTCAACATAAGTTGTTTTATCAGAGGATACAGGTTGGCCTACGTTATATCTGAGGAAAATTTGAAAGTGGAAAACTATATTAGGACAGATCACCGCATATTTATTTCAAACAGGATGGATGTCAACCCCCTAATGCCCCGTAGAGTAACAGATATCCACAAACATGGATTGGTACATATTATGGACCGATTCAATGGCCCCCTCAATCACCCGACTTGTCTATATTGGATTTTTTCTTGTGGGGATATTTGAAAAAACAAATATATCGTCGAGATCACCAAAATCCTGAAGAATTGCATGAAAGACAAAATTTCAGCATTCCAAGAAGTGAGACCCATTCATCTAACCAACGCAGTGAATTCTGTGAGGGAACGATGTGAAGTTTGCTTAGGCCAAAACGGACAATTTGAACATCTTTTATAAAGATTCATTTTTTCATGTAACCTACTAATTTTCCAATTAATAAATTATTTGTCTTATTTCTGTAATTCGAATAGTATGGAATGTATTGATAAACAATGATATCAAATCAAATAATTTCTAATTTTATTTCATACCAAATATTCATTGTCTAGAAATGGAATATTTGAATCACGTTTTCAATATTTATTTTCCTACTTTGGTTTATATATACAGAGTATCATTTTCAACCCATAATCTGCCTCTTTATAGCATTTTCCAGAGATGTCGGTGATTCCATAGCTGCTGGCGAGCAGTGTTATCACTGAAGATGATCCCACTTGATCCTCCAGTGTATCATTGGCATCTCTCTCACAGCTGCGAATGTCGTAATCCTACCTCAATGATTATTACGGAAGATACAGAGGTGCAACCATGAGGAATGTGACACACGAGTATATTTTTGCGAATATTTCAAGAGTTGCCAAAGAAAAAGGTAGGTTAATGTATATATTTGAATATGGAATGCCTAGGACTATCCAACTGTGCGAATATATTTGGGGTGTTCCAATAAAAAAAAACAACTGACTGCCGTATCTTCTTGATGTCACCCTGTATACAATTTCTGATGATGCCAATGGATTCTACGCATGATTCTATATGGATAAAAATTCGAAATTTCTCAATATCTCTCTTCATAAAGTACTCAGAAAATAAAAACGAAATCGGCAATTTTTCAATTTCCCCTGTACCTCTGAAACGAATGAAGATATCGAAATTCCAATTGTACCATTCGAGGTTTCTCTAAAATCAAACCCGTAACATGTATATCGATTTTTTGATAACTCCTTCAGTTACTGAGATAGCCTATGAAAACGCCCAATTTTGCCCACCCTGTACACTTGAAAGATTTTGAAATATTCGAGAAAAACTGCAAATAAAATTATTCTCACTGCGCAGCGGTGCATTTTCTGGGTAAGTTGATTTCTATGGTACTACACACACTGGCACAATTAGGGGAACGGGCAAAATTTACACTAAGTTTGACATCAATATTCTCTCGAACCGATCGCTCGATTCAAATTTTTTTCTACACGAAATGTAGCTTCATTCTTCACGAATACATCTGAGAAATAATTACCTTCAAACGATGAGTCTTTCCATCATATACAGGGGTGTAAAGAAAGTATGGATTTTTCGGTATTTTTTTAGACATCCTGTGGACTGAACCACTGACAATTGAAATGATTTCTCAACACCAAATTGGAGCCCAAACTATTCCGAATATTTTTGTTTTTTATTCATCTTGATATCTCAATTATTCAAGAAAATACAGAGTTTCAAAGGAAAGGTGGATATTGGTATCAATTTGACACCTCAAAACTCAAATTGGATCTGACTAACCTAACCTAACCATGACTGAACCACTGCCATAGGAGACAGAAGCAGTAAAATCAAATTGTTCATTTTGTTCACCTCGGCGATATAGCCTTTCCCTGCCATCTATTGAATTGGTGCAGATGCGGCTGTCATATGTTAAAAGAACATTGGCCCACTGGTCATTTTCAATTAATGCTACAGCCCTCGCCACATCAGTAGGAGTCGAATCTCTCATGTTGAATTTTCATTAATCAAATTTATGAATTGTGAAAAATAGCATTTCACCAAAAGAACATTGGAGCAACTTTCATCACCCCTGCATATTCATGAGAGAACTCGTATATGTGTCTTTAAACAGTAAACCGATAGGTAAAACTGTGAACAATTCTCATCTCGAAGTAAAAATCCTCACAGAAACAAGTTGAAAGACGACACGTTCTCCCCAGTTCGAGTTTCGAGGTGGTAAAATTAATACCAATATCCACCTCTTCTTTGAAACTCTATATTTTCTTGGATAATTAGGATGTCAAGATGAATAAAAAACGAAAATATTCGGGATAGATTGGGCCATAATTTGGTGTTGGAAAATCGTTTCAATTACAGTGGTTCACTCCACAGGATGTCTTAAAGAATACCGAGAAATCCGTACTTTCTTTACACCCCTGTATATGATATAAAGACGAATCGTTTGGAGGTGGTTATTTCTCAGATGTATTCGTGAAGAATGAAGCTACAATTCGTGAAAAACAAATTTGAATCGAGTGATCGGTTCGAGAGAAAATTGATGTCAAACTTAGTGTAAATTTTACCCGTTCCCCTAATTGTGCCAGTGTGTGTATTTTGGCCTCTAGTTCACCCTGTAGAATAAAAAAAGCGCATGCGAATATTTGGAATTTTCAATGTGCAATGTCAAAAAATAGTGGTAATGGTACCTCAAAGTGCAAATATGTTTCTCCGGTTTTCTAGTACAGAGCGAACGCCCACAAGCCTCCATGCACTTGTACCCTTCGTGACCCCTGTTTTCCAGATGACATATGATCTTGCAGAAGTGGCTGCAGTTTGGCAAACTTGCGTTGCACGGCCGCAAACAGCCACCTTCCGGCGACTTGTTGAAGTCCTCGTCTTTTTTCACCTTGGTGATGACGTCATGAATCTGACAACGGAGCTCGAGGGTTTCGCCCAGAGCGCCTTGTTCAACGAGTTTTTCTTTTATCTGGTGCCATATCTGGAACAAGCCAATGAGCAAGAGGTCATTTTGGGTGGTGTTACAAAATTAAATACATGAGAAAACTTATTGGACTAGTCAAAAGAGTAAAAAGCTAAAACACAAATGTTTGATCTTGAACAAATTCAAAAAATACTACATGTATAAAAGAAACTATCTAAGCACTGAAAGCAAGAAATTCATGCATCCATACTGTAGAAGCAGTTATCCAACAAGAAACCATATAGTTCATTTCTCATTACAGTTCTACTTTTATTGATCGCTATAAAAGTTGTTATTTTATTGAAGCATTTGATACCCAAATATTTTGGGGAATTCCGACTCACACTCAAGCGAGAGTAGGGGTGGTATAAAGTATCTTCACCCCGAGTAGCGTAATTATGTATATCAGAGTTTTTTGGATATAGGTGTTTATTATCATAGATGAATAACACTAGCTGTAATATGTAGAGACAGGGCAATGGTAAGATGCTGAATTTTTTAAATAGTGGTTTACAAGAGTCCAGTGGACGAGCATGGTCCATACCGCGAATTACTCTTTTTTGAACCATAAAAATGCGGTTAGTATATGCAGAGTTACCACAGAATATCAATCCATAATGTAGCGTAGATTGTACCAGTCCATAATACAGTGTCTCGGAGGTTCCGAATTGCGTAGTTTGCACTGCCAACTTTCACACATAAACTATCGATATGTTAGCTTGTTAGCTTTTGATCCAGAATTACTCCTGAAAATCTAGCCACCTGACAGTATTCCAAAGTTTCACCACACATATTGATGTTGTTCATTCGATCTGGGTTTGAGGTACTATGTTTGTATAAGAAATTGATAAAACTAGCTTTCTTTATGTTGCAGACAAGGTTATTGCTGCTACAGTATTTACTGAATTCATCCCATGCATAATTATCCAAGTTTACCAGTTTTTATGGGCTAGGAGTATATTTGTGTCATCAGCGTAAAGTACCATTCTATTTGGTGTGGTACAGGTATCGTAGATGTCATTTGAAAATATTATAAAGAGTTGGTCCCAATATAGACCCCTGGGGTACTTCTAACAGTTCTAACTCAGCACTCTTACAGTCAGATTTGCTATTATTTATTACTGTCACTTGTGTACGATTTGTCAAATATGAAGCTATCCAATCATGTGGTATTACACGAATTCCTATGCTGTATAATTTACGAAAGAGTCAGTCATGGTAACGAGCTTTGAGCCACCGAACATCAAACGAGGCATCAAAGCTTTCGCATTCGAGAGTTGATGATCATTTGATCAGTGATTAAATAGGTGCTTGAAAACGCAAAAGATCTCTCGGAAAAATAAGGCATTTCTTGATTTGTTATTGAATAATTCCATGGAGGTTTAGGGAATGCTCAAGTTACTCGTCCTCAAATTCAATTTCCTTTCATATGGTGTCAAAAAAATAGAAGTACCATTTGAAAAAGTTGAGTTTTTGACAATATTTCAATTCGACATTCGGAAATTGCTCGCACTCACATGGTAAAAAATAGAATCATCGATGAGACATGAGGAGTCAGCCCGCACTTTCAGCTGATTATTCCACAAATTTTGAGAAGTTTACGAGATACAAATGTTCTCGTGAACTTCTATGACGGTAACTATTTTTCAGAAAGAATAATTTATCTACAAAATTGTGATAGATTAGTTGACATACATTCGGTTGTCTAATGTAGAATTAGAAGGTCAATCGAACCGTGTGGAAAATGTATAGATTTATATTTTTGGCACATCCTGTATAACTATGGAGGACTAAAAATATTTCAGGCGCCATACCTACTTCAGATTGAATCTATTAGCCGCATAAAGAAACAGCCTAGATGGAACATACTTCTTAGGCGAATACATATCATTCACAGGTCAATAATAAAATTATTCGCGAGAAACCCGATATTTCTAACAAACTAACCACGTTTTACGGTATATTGAAAATGATCAATTATAACAGTACCCACATTTAAAGTTTTTAATCGTCCTGCATACAGAGGAAATCATTGAGAAACCCTTAACCCAGGCAACCAGATGACGAATCATCACGTCACTATGATGTCCCTAATTGGTGATTTTTCGTCAGAGACGTCACACACCAATTTATGACGTCCCTATGACGCACTTTCTATGACGTGATAATCACGTCATCGTTTCGATGTCGAGTGAACGTCACTTAAATGGGCGAAAGAACGCGTCAGTTTCATGACGTTGCAGGGACGTACCGTCGACGTCCATTTTTCCCAGACCTTCTCTAAACCATGGATACTTAATTATATAAAATCATGTGAAACAGAAGTATAACTCATGAAAGCAAATCAACATGCAAGTTTTATTGGAATTAATTATATACCCGAAAAGTAGGAGAAAACTTTTTTCTTAAAAACTTTGACACACTGTATATCTCGGAAACCAACAAGCTATGTATATACACATGGTTGTTAAGGTATACCTATATTGAAACCGTTACTCTTATGACGTTGCAGTGACGTATCTATGACGTCTAAAAATCACGTCGGTGTGACGTACCAATTTGGTGAGCTTCGTCATTCAGAATTTTTTTCAATAATTTGCTATTTAGATTTTTGTTGGGTGACAAAGAATGCATCAATATACATTATTCAACAAAGTGAAGCCAAATTCGCCAACATCCTGTCCATTGCTATCAAAATATTCTTTGTTTGCATACATCTCGCCGACACAAACTACATAATTTTTTATACAAATACGAGTAACTGATTGCATTCTGATGGAGATGCGTACTGAAGGATAGCGCTGCTAAATAGGCGATTGAATGAACATGACACAGGAGGGACCCACCAAGCAGACTCAACAATGCATAATCAATATTATATAAACTAGGGAAAAAGTCAAATACTCAAAGTGGAATGCAATGGTCACAAAGAGAGAGAAACTCAAAGTCATTACCACATACTAGTTCATAAAATGAACAACAATGGTAGATAACGAGAGAAAAACAACTACTTTCCTGGCTATATGCCACGCAGAACATTGCATTACATCCTTCCTAAATGCTGAGCTGCGCTTAAGTGGTTCAGGAACGCTGACTACCTGCAGACCGGTTTCGAGCTCTTGGCTCTCATCAGTACAGGGCTGTCCCAGATAGCTTCTTGACCGCTATCTGGTGTGAACCTGACCCAACGTAAACGCATCTCAGCATTTATACCATACGAGGCGTTTGAAGTCTGCGAAATGAAAACGCGAACACCGAACGCCACCTGGCAAGGAAAGAAACACTCCAAAACAGTGGCTGGTTGCCCGACTGGCGTATTTTCAACTAGGAAAGAAGCCAAATACTCAAAGTGGAATGCAATGGTCACAAAGAGAGAGAAACTCAAAGTCATTACCACATACTAGTTCATAAAATGAACGACAATGGTAGATAACGAGAGAAAAACAACTACTTTCCTGGCCATATGCCACGCAGAACATTGCATTACATCCTCCCGAAATCTATGCGATAGTTCGTATAAACGAATAAAATCGCAAGTGTTTCCTTCCTAAACGCTGAGCTGCGCTTAAGTGGTTCAGGAACACTTGCGATTTTATTCGTTTATACGCGATCAATCTTTTTTACGTATCATCGCCAAATTTAATCGTCATTTTGACGTCATTAAGACGTCAGTCGGGCGTCACAGTTTGGTGAGTCACCTTGGTCATTCAAGTGACGTAAAAAAGATGTTACTGGACGTCATATGGTTGCCTGGCACATAACCACTGACATAACTACTATATCTTAACTGCTATTATGACATATCCAAGCAACCTGAAAATCCTCAGCCTTAGCATTGGAATCGTCAATACCTATCGATATTAGTCAGCTTGGAAGTGCGGGGTCCTTGGAAAAAATTGATGGATGTTCGAGATTCTTGAATTTGATGGACTTATTATTATGATTATACTACTGTATGCTTCCTCCTCATACGTAACGATACGATGCTGCGACAATTCGTAGAGACCCTGTACCTGAAACTTACCGATTCACGATCATTGCACAACTGCTGAATATTCCCCATGATGTACAGTCCATTTCTAGCACGTGATAGTGCGACGCACACCCTGTTAGTGTTCTTTAAAAATCCGTTCTTCATCTCGGCGTTATTCCTGACCAATGACAACAAAATAATATCGCTCTCTTCTCCCTGATAATTATCCAGCACAGAAATCCTCACGTCCCTGAGCACCAGACTATTTTTCTTCCTTTAATGAGGATAATAAATGTACATGACCTGAATGGCGATATTCTTTAGTATTTAAAAAAGAAAACGACTACGAGTAGAATAATATATTGGTGACATATAGGTACCTATCCACTGAACATGATATTTAATGATATTGTAATATATCAATTTTAGGTAGGTCCTTCAGATAAATCCAAATGAATACAAATGAATATTGAACACTGATGCAGTCTAACAAGAATTTCCAAATTGATGAATTTTTCAAAATACTTCAAATCAACAAGTTTCATCTCAAATATTGAGAAGAAAATCGAGTACGCTACAAGCATATTACTATTGGAATCCACATGGAAATTTTATGACACTGACGAATTTCACCGTTTCCGGTAAATAATAATGAAGTATTCCGTTTTTGGATGTATGACAAATTAATATTCATTATACAGGACGTGGAAAGAAATTCTAAATTGAGAAAACTACTGGCAACATTATGATGAAATTTTGTATGGATGTTTCTTGAAATCAGTCATCTCGCATGAATTTGTTTTTATATCTGACTCTCATAGAGGCCGCTAGTTACACGGTTCGTACCGAGTAGTTTAGAACATAACTTTTTTGAGGTTAGATTTTTCAATCCAAATATGACACGAACTTGAACATCATTGGATTTTACACTGAAACGGTACTCTTGATGAAACTCGATACTATGTTCCGTTTTCGGAATATTCCGATTTGAAAATAATGGAGTGATAGCTGATGCTGGTATAAAATGAATTTTATTGAGTTCAATTACCTATTTATCAGATTTGAAAACAATAAAATTATTCTTGTGCTCAAGTTATTGATGAAACAAATAATCATAAGTAGAAAATTAAGAGATATTTGACTAGAAACATGAAATATTGAATCAGTTAGGGTAAGTGTTCAAAATGTCCTACGTTTCGACGAATACACGATTCTATATTCTTTTCTTAAGAATGCATTATTCTTCTAAACAGTTGAGGATCAGCTGTTAGGTCATTTAAGTGATGTTCAATTATGTCTTACAACTCTTGACGTGAATTTACCTCTGTAGCATAGACTTTTTGCTCAAGATACAACGAAACAGTGTAGGTAATCCATGTTCTTAGTCAAATCTGTTTCGAAGTTATTCTTGTGATTCATTGTTAAATCAATAAGTTTAGCATCAGAAATGTATTGTTGTTTTCGGTGTTCAATAAATAGGTGATAATTTTTCATAATACTCACTCTAATACATAGCTTTATACCACCAACAGTTATCACTTCATCATTTTCAAATCGAAATATTCCGAAAACGGTACATAGTATCGGGTTTTACCAAGAGTACCTTTTTGGTGTGACATTATTTATTTATTGAACAAATAACTTCCAGACAGAATAGGCTCTGGTATAAGGAAGTACATAATTATATACCTATAGGTAAACATATCATTATACAAAATATATCAACAACTGTACAACTGTTCAATTTTATCGAGTTCGCTCAGAAGTAATCAATTTTTTCACTTCATTTTTGAATGTACCTCTATTTCTGCAATTTTTTATATTGTCAGGTAGTTTATTGAATTCAGTTAAGGCTGAATGAGTGAATCTTTTTTGTCCGATTATGGAGTTAGCGGCGTCAAGATGAAACAAGTTATATTGTCTTGTTTCATGATTATGAATTTCAGAATTCCGTATCAACATAAAATTCGACTTCAATTTTTTATTTATGATATTATATGATATTTTAAGAGTTTCAATTCTATATATTTCATCTAAAGAATACGTATTTGTTATTTCAAACAATTGATTGGTCGGAGTCTCAAATGGGAGACGATACAATACTTTTAACGATTTTCTATATAATGTTGATATTTTATTGAAATTGTTTTTTGAACAAGTTCCCCGAACATTTATTAAATAGTTGATACGACTCAGTATATGAGAGTAGAGAATCATGTTTGCAATTTTAATATCAAGTTTGGGACATCTTCTCAATGCACCAATAATTTGAGATATTCTGTTCGTCAGCACATCAATATGTTTGTCCCACTTCAACCTGTCATCAAACCAAATTCCAAGATATTTTATCTGGTTAGTTTGTTTTAAGAGTTCATTTTTAATTTTAAGGTTGAGGTAAATTTTTTGTTTATTTTTTTGGTGAAAAATCATATATTCTGTTTCATTAGTATTTATCGATAAAAGGTTAGAGTGAAGCCATTTTTCAAATATTTTCAAGTCTTCATTTACCATATTTTCTAAATTTGAAGGATTCTTGCCTTCATATAAAAGTACTGTATAATCTGCATACATGGTATATTTACTCGTGAGACCAATTTCACTGATATTTTGAACATAAAGTAAATATAGTATGGGTCCTAAAACAGAGCCCTGTGGGACACTCTTATTGATTAATAATTTATTTGAATGTTGTTCTAGTTCACATCAAATTTGGATTGAAAAATCTAACCTCTAAAGTTATATGTTCAAAATTACTCGGTACGAACCGTGTAACCAGCGCCCTCTATGAGATTCAGATATAAAAACAAAGTCATACGATGTGTCAGATTTCAAGAAACATCTATGCAAAATTTCATTACAATGCTGCCAGTAGTTTCGACATAATCTTAAAAAATGTTTAAAAAAATTATTTTTTCAACACCTTGTATCTTGATAACGGATGCCGTTACGAATTTTTTTTATTGAGCAAACCCAACTTATTTTGCAGTGTTCTACCTACCCTAGTTAGGAGGTCAGGTTATTTTGAAACACCCTGTATACAGAAATACATTGAGAATTCGCATTCTCTATGTGATACTAATAATTTATCTGAGAATATTCCTTTTCAAACTATTTAGTATTGGGCTGTGAAACTGAAAAGAAGTCTGAGATAGAGGAGTGGTCTCTAGATGCAATATCTTCGATCTCGTCCCGTTTCTGAAAAACTAAGCGGGATATGAACATTTTGTTTGCGGTATAATGAGTTTCACAAAAAATAGAGTTAACGTTCGCGAAAACCACAAATATCTATCTCTGAAAATAATTGATTGAAAATGATTAATTATTTTTTTTACCTTTCTCTTTGCATCTCAAACATTTGTCCCAAGTAGGCAGCAAGAATGGTGATTTGATTTGGTTTGTAGCCATTCAGAATGAGGTGCTTTGCCAAATTTATAAGGAGTTTGGCTTCGTGTAGATTCTTCTTTGTAGAATCTCCGCAACTTTCTTCTTTGTTGGAATGGGTCAGAAAGAATAAGTTTTTGTTCATGCCCTTTATGTTTTCTCTGAAAAAAAAAATTACTATTAAGGTGACAGGTAGGTACGGTACATACCAATTTGGGTATATAGGGTAACGCCACTGGGAAAAATCAATGGTCTCCTACGCCGACTTTTCAAAAACTTATGTCAATTTGTGATATCTACGATGTTCTAATTAACATTCTCAACCTAGATCTAGCCAGATTACCTAACCTAACCTAGATCTATACAGGGTGTTTCCTAACTACGGTTCCTAACTGTTAGGTCATTTTTAGAAGAAAAGTTCCTATGAACTTATGTCCGGAGTTGCTTCGTTTGTGAGATACAGGGCGTTGAAATTAAAGAAGAAAAAAACGGTAACTATAAAATACCATGAATATCCCGCAACCGATTTGGTTGAAATTTGGTACTTTTATTTGTAAAATTCTCTAAAATTTCAGCATATCAAGTGTCACGTATATTTGGCGGAAGTAATGAAAAACTCATTTCTCCAATGCAGGTGTTCATGATATGCAATAAAGTGGCTTTAATTTTTTTTCTCGTAACGAAGCTGGATATGAAAAAAATACAGGAGACCAACAAGTTGTATTTTGAGTTGCTCAATCGTAAAAAAAATGAAAATTTACCAAAAAAAGTCAGTGGCGTACTTTTTTTTTCACAATATTGTTGGCTGTGGTAACCACTCAGACGCCACTAGCCCCAATAACTTCAATCTGAATAAGGCCAAATTTTTGTCATGGGAAATATCGTTTTAAGAAACCAACAGGCCTTCAACAACCATTGAAAACCCCTTGACAGATTACTATGCAATCAACAATACATTCATATCTCTTCAACGTGGGTGGAAAGAGACGCCTCATCAAAAATATGGTCACGTGGCAGTCAATCATTGTTGAAGATCCGGTATATCTTCGTAGAAATGTCGAAAGACATGATTCTGGTTATCAACAAACTGGAGATAGCTGGCGATTCAATGTCCCATGCATTGATTCAATCGATGGCGTTCTGCGGGTACTATTTGTAGTTAATTATGAAGTACTCACATACGGTATGCGATACGAATATGTTGCACTTATATTGTGCTGATACGATGGTATATAATTTATATGGATCAATTAGTATATTTTATTGTTCAACTGGAACATTATTAGCTGACTGAACAATGATCTAACGATATAGATAATTCAATCCTAGGCAACCAGATGATGATGACGCTTCAGTGACGTCTTTTTACGTCAGGAGCTAACGTCCTATGACGTGATAAATGTCGTGAATGTCACAGCCCAATGACGTCATATTACTAACGTTTATTGACGTCAGTCACTCGGAGTTTCCTCAAGCATAGTGTGATAAACACCACACTGACCTCCGATGACATCTAATATTGATTATGCATTGCCAAGACTGCTTGGTTGTCTTTCTGGTGTCATGTCCATTCAATCCTTCAGTGAATCTCGCATCAGAATGAGATCAGTAACTCGTATTTGTATAAAAAATTATGTAGTTTGTGTTGGCGAGATGTGAGCAAACCAAGATAATAGCTTGGGAGCAATGTAAAGGATGTTGGCGATTTCACTTTTATTTTGTTGAGTGACGTATATTTATGCTTTCTTGGTCACCCAACAAAAATCTAAATAGCAAATTTTTGACATAGTTTCTGAATGATTAGTGTATTATACAAATGATAACTTGCCTTCCTTCCAACTCCACTGATATATACAGTGTGTCTCAAACTCGATGGCCTATCAGACGTTTCTGGAGAACGAAACATATGAATATTTTGAAAATGTAATGGCGTTGCCGCATCTACCCAATTGTAGCAACAGCATCATGCATATGATTGCGATCGCGTTCTCAGATTCTTCCTGAAGAGCTGATCAGTCTATTACACTCATCAGGGTCTATTGGGAATGATTACAAAGATATGTTATAATGCCACCAATAAAAAGGTGGACAATGTATACATTTTCCATGATGTTGTTTTTGCATGCAACATTTATCATTGTGAAATATGAAGTGAACAAATTTGATTGATTGATTGTCTTTATTACACCAAGATACATTATTGTTTATAATATGGATGTATACAACAAAAACATGTATAACATAATAAATCAGAACAATAATAATTGCACAATTATTGTTTTTTAAAAAATATTCAAAATATTAAATGAAAATATTATAATCCAATCCAAGTAATCAAATAGTGAATGATTAGGAGATATGGAATCAAAGTTTACTGAGCTGATATTTCTTTGAATTGAGTTTAAATCTTTCTGCTTCTTTTATGAAAAGCTTCTATTCAACTTGCTATGTGTGGATGTATGTATATATTATATGTATAGTTGGCGTGGAATCTTGGAACGCAATTTTGAAGTAGATATCTTCAACCAATTGAGCTGACATTTTATATATACGTTTAGTTTGGATGACATTGAAGTGTGTGTGTGAATTTTAAGTTATTCTAAATCTAATATGACGGACCATCCAAGATGGCGAAATAGTTATTTTTAATGCACTTCTACAATATGGGTATCGAATGAGAGGGCTCGTTGAGAGTAACTCGAGAAATAACGTGACGTCATTCTAAATCCAATATAGCGGAGCATCCAAGATGACGAAATGGTTATTTCCAATGCACTTCCACAATATGGGTACCAAATGAAAGGGCTTGTTGGAAGTAGCTCGAAAAATAATGTGACGTCATTCTAATCTAATATGGCGGACTATCCAAGATGGCGGAATAGTTATTTCTAATTCACTTCTATAGTATGGGTATCAAATATGAAAGGGCTTGTTGAGAGCAATTCGGAAAATAAATGTGTGAAATCATTAGAAGGTCTCCTCATTGAAGAGTTGGACTGTTCGAAATTAACTGGCCAACGACCTTCCAACAATGATGCGTTGAATGAAATGAACAGACTGAGAAACCTAATAAGCGATATCTAAAAACTAAAAAATAAATTAAAAGTGAAAAAATTTTTAATAAAAAGCTTTTATTTGAACGCTCTAAAGATAATAAAATGAAATGTTCCTTTATAATTTTAATTATCAATTTATAACCTCATTATACACAATTTATATGATCATGAAAGCTTGTCGCGCGATTTACTCGTGTGAATAAACTAGTACTAATTTAATTTTGTGAAATCTGCTGTTCAAACTTTTAAAATTTCAATTCAATTAAATATTGAAGCTTTTATGATCATATAAATTGTGTATAATGAGGTTATAAGTTGATAGTAGGAATTAAAAAGGAACATTTTATTTTATTCTTTTAAGAGCGTTTAAATAACAGCTTTTCATTAAATAATTTTTTTCCTTTCAATTTATATTTCTCAACTCGTCATTAGGTAGGAAGTTATATATAATCATTCCACTATGGAATATTGATTGTTTAATAAAATTTTACTTATAATTATTTGCTATCAAAAAATTTAGATTAGATCTAATCATTTCGAATTAAAGAATTGTATAGAGTAGACAGGAAGTCTACTTCTTCGAGAGCAACCAAGCTCGGAAGGTAGGTGACATACTTATCGTGATAATATTCTGAATCAATCCATGAATCTAATCAAACCCATCAGTATCGTTGAATTCGTTTCAATAAACCCTAACCGATTATGGAACAAAATACAGGGTCCCAGATTGCACAGGACATCCATTTTATATCATATTCATGGCCGAACATCCCAGACTCTAATTTGGACGTCCTGAGGACGTACGACGCCAAACGTTTCAAGGACGTACGACGCGGACGTCCTGGGGACGTACATTTCAGGTCGAAATCAATATTTATATCATCAATTCGATTATATTGCGTTGATTATTATTTATCTCGCACATTCTATGATTTTTCGTGATAACTCAGATGAATACATATTCATATCTAAATTTGTTTGATGATGTAAAATGAAACATTATCTTCTCTGATCCCGAATTCAGATATCGACCGCCATTTTGTCGAGGCTCATCCGCCGTTCACGATTTTCTGTGGTGCAGTGTGCTTGTGTATAATTATTGGATAATTGGTGTTTTGACGGTGTTATATTTGTTTCAATTGTTGCAACTTAGATGTTATCATGACTTTTCTCTCAGTGATATTAATAGTGGGTAAGTGTAGTTATTTTGTTACATTCATTAGACGTGTGTGAAAGTGATTTTTGTAGATTAGGTGTATCCCAGTATACTTCTAACTAGAAAACATCGAAAAACAATCAATGAGATGTTATCAAGGCTGCTATCTCAGTAATACTAATAATGGCGGGTTGTTATTCAATCAGATTATGCTGAGTGCGAGTGAAACCGATTTTTCCAAGTTAGGTGGACTTCCTAACTTTGAAATAGATACGTCGACAAATAATTTTCTCATTTCATTTTCGTTATTGTTGAATATACCTGTAATGATTGATGAATGAAAATAATAATTGAAGAATTTTGCCTTCAGTTAATGCTTTTTATTATCAGAATCACATATATAATTCAAAATGCCCTCAGCCCTTTTAAATATACAGGGTGTTTCCTAAGTACTTGTAAAGAATTCAGGAGCATGTTACTGACGTCAAAATAAGAAGAAAAGTTCGTATAAATATATGTCCGAAAGTTATTCGTTCCCGAGATACAGAGTGTCGAAGTTGAATTCTTATTTTTGTTTTTTGTTAATAAATTTCAGAATAATTGTGATATTCGAATGAAGTGTGGTATCTTGGGGTAATTCTCAAGTTTTTTGTTAATAAATTTCAGAATAATTGTGATATTCGAATGAAGTGTGGTATCTTGGGGTAATTCTCAATGACAATATCAAAATGTATGTTAGTTTGTCTCTTTCGTGGGGGTGGCGCCACCTACATGTCTTTTGAGTTTTTTGAAAAGTCATAACTTGTGCGTACTTGTATCACGATTTATAGTAGAAAAATAGGTTTCTAGAACACTTTTGTGTAAAAAATATATTCCTGGTAGAGGTCGCTGCGAGCAACTGTTTTCGAGTTATTGGGAGTTGAAATAATCGATGTATTCGAATTTGGCCCAACTTTTTTTGCCACTTTGAACAATTACTTCGATCAATTCCCTCAACTAAATGTTCAAGTATCAATTCGGTCCCAATTACTGTTATAATTATCAGTATTAAATTGCATTAACACCCGTTTCCTATTTTAAAATGAAATCAAAGAAAAATAATTTCCCATACTTGATAAATCAGTTTTCAATTCCAACTTCTTGTCATTTCAAATTACTTGCATTGATTATTGTAAATCCCAATGACTCAACAGTTGCTCCCAGCGACCTCTACCAGGAATATATTTTTTACACAAAAATATTCTAGAAATCTATTTTTCAACTATAAAACGTGATACAGGTACGCACAAAAAATTCATGATTTTTCAAAAGACTCAAATAAGACTCAAAAGACATGTAGGTGACCTCCACGAAAAAGACAAACTGATAGAAACTTTGATATTATCATATTGGAAAACACCCCGAGATACCGAACTTTATTCGAATATCACAATTATATTGGAAATTTATTAACAAAAAACCAAAATAAGAATTCAACTTTGACACTCTCTATCTCAGAAACGAATAACTTTTGGATATATATTATTTATACGAACTTTTCTTCTTATTTTGACGCCAGCAACATGCTCCTCAATTTTCTACACATACTTGAGAAACACCCTGTATAGAGTGGAACTCAAAATATGGTGTCATAAAAATTGCGACAATCTGTTTATTTGCTTATAATTTATCATCAATTTTCTATATTGTCGATTATACAGTAAAACAAAAACTGTTTCATTTTAAAACCAATTTTTTGCTCCGATTGCTGTTGAAAATAATCAACTTTGGCACCTAAGACATTGAAGAAAACATATTTTTGACCTCCGTTATATGTACGATTCAAGTCCCAAAATGGCCCAGTTCAGACCTGAAACAGATCAAAATCGGACGTCCTATGTACCTCTGATTCTGTAACATCGTATGTCCTATGGACGCCCTAAAGACGTCCGTCGCACTCAAAATGGACGTCATTGGGATGTGCTATCTGGGGTGATCCATTAAAAATCGAAAGTTGATGTTATTTCCAGGAAAACTGGATGATGAAAAAAAATCCTAAAATGTTAGGAAGTGCCCTTTAATGAGCATAGGGACGGAAAGGGGGGTATTCCATGAGTGTGTGTCACCAGGTAAACGTACCGTCCTAGGACCGACTCGTGGTCTTCCAGCTTCGCATAGATCGCTGGCCGAATGAGGCTGCATATCTCCGACCGCATGCGGTGTTGCACGTTCAACGTGTGGCACTGCACATCGTTCCGCACCAGCCGTTCGAACAGACTGACGCCCATCTGGTAGTGCGTCTCCACTTTGTAGTCGGCCGTAGTGGGACGCAGCTGCTGATGATCCCCTAGAAGAGAGATTGACAAATGAGAATATTTCATCGTTCCATCATTTCATTATTTCATCTTTTCATCATTCCCTCATTCCATTGTTTCAACATTTCATTATTCCATAATTCCATCATCCCATTATTTCGCGATGTTATCATTTCATCATTTCATCATTTCATCATTGCATCATTGCATCATTTCATCATTGCATCATTTCATCATTTCACAATTCCATCTTTCAATCGTTCTATATCATTAAATTATTTTATCTTCTTTATCATTATTTCATCATTCAATCATTTCATCATCATTTCATCATTTCATCATTCAGTCATTTATTCAATCATTCAATTATTTAATTATCTAATCATTTAATCATTCAATCATTCAATCATTCAATCATTCAATCATTCAATCATTCAATCATTCAATCATTCAATCATTCAATCATTCAATCATTCAATCATTCAATCATTCAATCATTCAATCATTTAATCATTCAATCATTCAATCATATGATCAATAAATTCAATCATTTCGTCGTTTCATCGTTCCATCATTTCATCATTCCATCATTTCATCGTTCTTCATTTCATCATTCCATTATTTCATCGTTCTTCATTTCATCATTCCATAATTTCATCGTTCAATCATCCCATTAATATATCATTCCATCATTCAATTATTTCATCATTTCATTAGTTCTTTATTTCATTATTCCATCATTCCATTATTTCATTATCTCATCATTCTCTCTTCCTCATTGGTAATTTCGCTATTTTGTGATTTCTTCAACTCGTTATCATATTATTCCATCATATTTTTACGTTATCCTAGTATTTCAATGTTTACCAGTCATTTACAGGGTGTTTTCGAAATTGAAGCGTTAAATGAAGTGGTCAACAGAAGACGAAGCAACAAGACGATTAGTGTTATAGTTGGAAAAATACTACTTTACTTCAAAATTCGCTATGAACTTTAGTGAATCATCGATCAGAGGTTAGGAACCTGATACTTCAGATGCAGTGGAGTCAACACTTTTTCTCTTCATTTGACTCTGCCGTTACTTCATGGAAATCCATAGTATAAATATAGAAAACTTCACAAACGATATGATTTCCAAAAAATTCCTAATCACACGACATGTTTCGCTAACACAGTAGCTTTTCAGGTGAAATTCTATGGTACACTAAACTAACTTTGTAGAAAACTTATGGTTTGTGAAATTTTTTACGAATGTAAAAACTTCACAAACGATAAGACTTCCACAAAATTCTAAAACACAGGACATGTTTCGCTAACACAATAGATTCGTCAGGTGATATACTGGTATGATGAACTAAACATACAATGCCAAGATAAGATCGAAACTCATAGATTGTCCCAATGGCTCCCGTTAGTTTTGGTCCCTTGCTAAAGCGGTCGGAAGAAATTTCACTAATAGTTCATTTCCACCACTGTCCAAATCCGACGGCACATTAGCAACAACATTGCAGGAGGAAGCAAATATTTTTGCAGAGATGTTCGCAGCAAACTCTACTTCAGATTCCCAATGAAAAGTGCCGCCAGACATTCCACCCGTTGAGAGTCGAATGCCCGAAATCGTCTTCCGTCAACGCACTACCAGACGAATTTTGCTCGGTCTCAAAACGAATAAGGCTAACGGTCCTGATGGAATTCCACCCATTATCCTCAAAAAATGTGCACCAGAATTAACACCGATTCTCTGCAAGTTGTTCACCGTCTCGTACAGGTCGGGTATTTTTCCATCATGCTGGAAGACAGCTAGAGTCCAACCAATCCCCAAAAAAGGGAACAAGAACCTGCCCAACAACTACAGGCCCATTGCCCTGTTATCAGTAATCTCCAAAGTGATGGAGAAAGCCATCAATATTGAGCTTACCAAATACTTGCCTACGTCACCCATTCATGACAAGCTTCATTAAAAAAAACACGAGGAATCTCTAGCTGTCGCGTTGGACATATCAAAAGCATTCGACCGTGTTTGGCACGGAGGACTCTATCACAAACTACCATCATACAGCTTACCACCTCAGCTATGCCATCTCTTATCGAGTTTTCTTTCAGGCAGATCGCTTCACGTGGTGGTGGACGGTGTATCGTCTGATACCATTGGCATCAATTCCGGCGTTCCACAAGGATCAATTTTGGCACCAACATTATTCCTTCTTCATATCAATGATCTGTTGGGAGTAACAACTTGCCCCATCCACAGCTTCGCAGATGATAGTACCCTCCATACTGCGTTCTTCTCCAGAATTCCCATTTCTTCCCAGGATACTAACAACTCACGGCGCAGGCAGGTCAATGCTGTCAATGAAGACCTTGCTGAAATCACAGCCTGGGGAACCAACAACCTAGTTGAATTCAACGCCACCAAAACTCAAGCCTGTATTTTCTCTAGAAAGGCGGAACCATCCCCACCAAGCCCACCATATCTATGCTCGGTATTTCCATCAGCAACACTCTTTCATGGAATAATCATGTCAGATCCTTCGCAAAAGCTGCTTCACAAAAACTCTGATTCGTGTTCCGTGCGAAAAGCTACTTTACACCTCAACAGCTTCTCATGATCTACAAAGCGCAGATACGGCCTGTTCTAGAATACCGCTACCACATATGAGGTTCAGCAGTAAAACATACGCTGATGCTCTTAGATTCTATCCAGAGAAGAGCCATTCGCCTGGTGGGTGACGCCACACTCACTCACTCTTTGACATCATTGGAACACCGTAGAAAGGTCGGTGACCTTCCACTTTTCTATCGATACTTCCACGGGAAATGTTCTTCGGAAATCTTTGCTATCATCCCTCCACTAGCAATACCAGTCAGACGAACTAGACAAGCCCAGTTAGCACATCCTTCCGTTGTCAAATTCGAAAGATGTCGTACAGCACTTAATCAAAACTCCTTCATCCATAGAACGGCTAGGCTCTGGAATTCATTGCTTGAGGAAGTATTCCCAACAACATATAATCTCCAGAAGTTCAAAAAAAAATCCAATACCTACCTCCTGTTCCTATCCTCCCTAGGAACGCACGATGTTCTTTGAACATTATAGGGATTTCCTTTCGTGCGCTTCAAGCGATTAAAAAAACTAACCTTGGCTTGCTTATATATCCTACTTTCCCAACCTGAAGAATTAGTTACCTGTGGACAGGTTCGATAAACCTTCATTTTCCGTGTACCGGATTAACTTGAAAGGGTTGATAGTAAATTCTTATACCAGGAATTACTGTCTGATCATTCATGTCATTCCTACTAGAAAATTAATTATACTTTATATATTATTTGTATGAAATGTATCAATGAAGAAGAGAATGTAATGCAATAACTGAAATAAATAAATAAATAAATAAATATACCTACTACGAAAACAAATGCAACGATTGAGGACTAATTGATCGTTAAGTAAAATCTCAGAATTTTTTAGTTTGTTGATTTCTAATGATTCAAAATGATTTTGTTTCATTTTCTTCGTGTAGAATTTCGAAACTATCATCAAAACTATGATTTTCTTCTAATATATGGTTGGAGTATGTTGAATTTGTTTTCTTTTTCAAAAAATGCATCGTATGTTCATGCATGCGCTGATCAAATATGTATGTGTAATGTAGATATTGTGCCCTGATTTCCGAAAATGAAGGTTTATCGAACCTGTCCACAGGTAATCAATCTTTCAGGTTGTGAAAGTAGGATAAATAAGTAAGCCAAGGTTAGTTTAGTTCATCATACCATTATATCACCTGACGAAGCTACTCTGTTAGCGAAACATGTCGTGTGTTTGAGAATTTTGTGGAAATCTTATCGTTTGTGAAGTTTTTACATTTGCTTTTGATGAATGACGTATGATGAATTGATATTGTAAAGCACCCCTTTTCTTGGGTTGTCCTATACAGGGGTCTTCACAAAGTTACTGATTCACTGGGTTCGTGAATACTTAGTCAGGAGTAAGATTGGTGTATATAGACATTAATACGGCAGTTCAAAATACATAAATCTCTATTCAGCAATCATCATAATATGGACAGGCAGAGTTGACATGGAAGTAAAACAGATGTGCTTACATGATATTGGTTGGTTATACATGATGACAGGATGATGTACACTCGCACTATTATACCGGGTCACTTTGAAAAGTTAATACAATTTTATAAAAGTTCAATTATTCTCGATACACATCTATTGCAGCAACACAATATGTTCACTAGGTACAGACTTTCAAGCAATTTCTAATATCAACTACATATCACGAATAACTAGACTGTTTAGCAGAGTTACTGGTTCAAGACATGAGACTTCGTATCAAGAGTTCGATCAAGACTGACTTTTATGCCAAAACTCCCTGCTTTTATACTGAGATTTGGTCATAAATTTAATCAGAATTCATTAGATTTTCGCTTAGTTGAATTGACCTCGAATTAAAGTGCAAAAAGAGTGGCTTCGGATGTTTTCAGAAATAGTTTTTAATTTAATGGAATTTTATCATTAATCATTTTGCAAAAATCGATGACAGTTGACCTTGGGTATTACTTAAAATTAAGTACAGAAGAAGGATTTCAATGTTCATCTGAAAATATTTTAAACTAATTGATTTTTGTAATAATTCATCTGGCCTCTACCTATCTTTGGCCCGCCCCTCTACTGTGGCTCAGTTACTTAGGTTATAAATTCCCTGTACACTCTTTTCTAACTTTTATTCACATCTTTTTTGCTGTTCCTGTGTGCCACTATCAACAATGTAACAAAGGTAAAGTACCTAATAATAAACCTATTACATATATATTATGCATTTCTTGGGATTCGAAACAAATATGCATATTTCCAACAAGAGTTAATTCACGTAATAATATTGCTCTATCAATCTATCCTTCTAATACTTATTGAATGCATTCGAGTTCAGATACCTAAATATTTATTGACCTAATTAAAACGACCTTCTATTTCCTATAAGTGTAAAGTGTCTAGCATTAGTATTCGTTATGATATTTTTGGTC